AGGAATAGTAGGGACCTAGTGTTCTTATGTAGAAAGTGATTTTTGGCAATTTTTAACAATATACAGAGCTCAAGCGAAGTTTAATTTCAGTCGCTTAGTTAATTTATTGCATATGATTTGTCAGGGAGCTGCATTGAAGTAGAGGGAGGCTCCGGGAACCTCTGGGAGAGTTGGAATGTCTGGCATCCATATATAGGTACAAATAAAGGCAAATGGCAAGGTGGGTGCATAAATCAAATACGATACAGTGGACATGAGGAAAGAAAAACTGAGGTTAAAAAAAAGACTGTGAAGATTTGCTCAGAAGTGTATCTAATAGTGATCCAACAGAAAAAAACAGAGATACTCCAATGGTGTAGTAGGTACATATAAATATAATAAAAAGAAATCAAGAGGTACCCTACTTACATTTTTTTGAGCAATAACTTGCTCTAGTTTGTATAGCTCTGGTGGTATAGCAGGAACCAGGATATTGGATCAGCAGCAAAAACAATAAAATTGGACTGTGGTACTCACTTCCCTCCTTCTTTAGATGCTCACCCAGTCTCCACTCCACTTTCTCTCTTACAACTGTTATTAGTCTAATACTATCCTTACATTTTGTCTCACTTTACCCCACTCCCTCTAGCATGTAAGCTCATTGAGCAGTGCCCTAAACCCATTTGTTCCTGTGTGTCTAACTTGTCTGGTTACAACTACATGTTTGTTCGTACACCCACTGTAAAATGCTGCTGAATTTGTAGGCGCTATATAAATAATAACATAATAATATAATAAAATATTACTTTATTCCATTTATCAAAAAACACAAGAATCAAAAATAGTATATATAAGTATCAGTTGAAATAAATATATGCAAAGTAAAAAGGGCTCCAATACACACAGTACGCGTTTCACTCTTCAGGGCTTCCTCAGAAGTGTCAGGGTTTTTTTTTAACAATTTGCACACTTCGCAAGGTTCGGGAATCCTTGCTGATCTACTGCAGCCCATTCTTATTGATTGATTATAATGAGCACCTACATCTATTTTTTTATACGCTAAGATTAAAAATGTATTTAAAAAAGTATGTATATATCACTTTACAAATTAATTTAATTACTACAAAACCAAGTGCAATCAAAAAATAAACCAACATTAAAATTATTTGTATTTTGTCCAATTTACAGTGCTTATAGTGCAAAATCAAAAATAGAATATTATACCTTTACATTTTAAAACTTAGTGTTTTTGCTTTTTGTTATATGCACATTATTGTTGAAGCGGCTGTTTTATGCAGGGATAAAACCTAAAAAACTAAACATAGAAATCAATAATTGGCAAACAATAAATAAAACAATATGAAAAACAATATAATAACAAGTATAAATATCAAAGGGGGCTTATCTTCTTCTGAAACACGTTTCACCATTGGGGCTTCCTCAGTCTGCCTATACCCTACTTATATTTCACCTCTCCACTTCTTTCTTGTATATTACTGTCTTCATTTTGTCTTTTCTGACATTTTAACTGTTCTCTTCTATTGTATGTTGCCTTGGGTGACATTACAAATTTAGTATCTTCCCTTCCCTTGCTCCTAATATTTTCCAAGCTTCTTTTTTTATTTATCCTCCATAATTTTAATATACTCCTGTTGAAAAACTTGCATTTATAAAACGTGCCATATTGTACAGTATCTGAATGGCAGTAATGCACTTTCCTCTATTAGTATGGTCAGCATGATGTTATCGCTCCATTAAGTTGCTTGATTGTGAATTTTGCATTTTTAACGCTAATAGTTAAGAAGAGTGAAAGAAGCATGAGAAACTTGGCAAAAGTAGAATACTCTAAAAACATTCTTACGTGTCCAATCCGCGCAACACCTGATGTCCTTAATAAAATTATCTGGCCAATCTCTAAAGAACCGCAGCTCCACTTATACGTCATTGCGACAAGAATATTTAGGAGTTGGAGGTCTAGATAACTCAGCTCCTCGCAACAGATGACATACCAGAGGATCTTGACCTACTGAGACGCCTTGAATGGAAATGTGTGCTTCAGAAATGGCTGAACGCACTATATTTAGGGAACGATCAATTGACCTTAGGTAAAGGCTGAGATAAATAGTTCAAGATGAATCCCATTCTAGATATCAATGACTCAAAGAGGACCATGTCGAGATATAGCATTTCCTGGTGCTAGGGGCCCAAGAGTCCTATAAAAGATTGTCCAAGCAACTAGATTGAGCTTCCAGGATGAGGGGATGAAGTTCTTCCCTCGGTCCCATCAGAAGTAGAGGGAAGGATGGGAGAAGAAGTGGGTGATCTCGGGACATCTCCATGAGGTCAGGGAACCATGCTTGACTCTGCCAGAGAGGTGCTATGAGGAGGATTGAAGCATTGTGGGTTTGTGTGTGGTGGAGTACTCTCACCAGCATGGAGAATGGAGGGAATTCATATGCTCCATGTGTCGGCCATGGCTGAAGAAATGCATTCACTGCCGTGCATTTCCGATCTGGGTGCCCACTATAGTAGTTCGGTAGCTGGTGATTGGTCCAGGAGGCAAACAAGTCCAGGTGAAATGAGTTTCTGAGGTGTTTCAACTCCCAAAATACAGATGTATTGAACTTCCCGTCACCTCTGTCTTGCCAGTAGCGGGAAAACCAGTCTGCTGTCAGGTTGGTAATCCCCGGGAGATATTCAGTTTTTAACGTGATGTTGCGCGAGAGGTAGAATCTGTAGATGTCTTTGGTGGCCTCTGTGAGGGTTTGGGATCTGACTCCACCTAGGCGATTTATGTATTGCACTGCAGAGGCATTGTTCATGCTGAGTTGGATGCAGCAGTTTGGCATGTCTTTGGCTAGACTCCGAATTGCGAAGGACCCTGTGACCAACTCTAGGCCATTGATGTGGAGGTTGGTCTCCTCATCCCACCAAGGTACTCCCGTAGAGGAATCCGTGCAGTGAGCCCCCTAGCCCCAGAGGCTGGCGTCCGATTCCACTATGAAATCCGGAGGGGAACCAAGGATCGCTTTGCCATTCCAGATATTGAACAAGTAGATTTGCACTTGTAGTCACATGGTAACAGAAGTATGGCATCAAAAACATTGCACTTTTTTATTTTATTTTATTTTTTAATAAAGGGAAATAAACAGGATTATATCATAAACTTCAGAAAAAACTAAGCGAAACATCAGCCTGGTTCTCAGATTGGCATCACAATTTTAGTTAAAGTAGAAATAATGGTCAGGCTAGCATATCATATTCTGAGACTGAACTGAGCACACCTGGCTTAGTACCTGACCGCACATGCTTTTGTGAGTAATATAGTAAAAAAGTAAACCAGACTCATCATGCATGTTTAAAACTAAATAGAAGATAATTGTAGTGGAGATAATGAGACATGCAGATACACATTAAAAACATAGCAGTGAGGGTCAAGAAGTATCCCGTAGAGAACCTCTGGGTATTATTAACAAAAAATCGATGTGTAAAAATCACTAGAGGATGTCACAAAGATTAACTGGTTGAACTGACATATCTAAACATAGGACAACAGCTAAGCTTGCACTGTAATATATCTGATTAAACATGTGGATAGCGACTAAATAATAGTGCTAAACACGCTGGAGTTTTAAAATGATGTTGCCACTGGGCCTAGGCTTTCTGAAATCCTACTGCGTTGTAAACAGGTACAGTTAATTAAATGGCCTCCATCTTCACGACAGTGGGGCAAAGCATTGGTGATACGGCCAGCGCTCGGCTCAGCCGATCCCCTTGAGTGGTAGGAGCAGGGTGCAGTCCAGATGGCATTTGCAGACGGTCGCCCCAGAGCATCGGGATAGAGGTCTCCTCCAGCCCCAGACCTGGATAAGGGCCAGCGTCCTGTGACCACAGACTCTGTAATGCTGAGGTGTCAAGTCTTTTATCCTACTGGGGTAGGCGGAAGATCCAGGTGGTCACTGCTTGCGTTTGGCCGGCGTGGTCGACGCTTAAGGGCTATGCCACAGGTGGCTCTCAGCCTAGGATGGCATTTCATCACTGGTATGTGAGTAGTTAATGGCTTGCCCAGGGGAGACATCCCTTTACTTGGCGCTACAGTGCTCCTTTCAGCTGTAGTAGGCCTCTGTGGTGTCTGCTGCATGCAGGCCTGTAGTGTTGCCCATAATTGAAGATTTCTTCTATGCATTATAGGCCCTGTTCACCATAGCTTCTTACTGGTTGCTGCTCTAGACCTAGGACCTGTTTGTCCAGGAGAGAGGCTATCTCCATCTTTGGCAGTACAAGTTGCTTCAATGTGCCTCAAGATTGGTGCCAGGGTAGCGTGACTTATAATGAAGTGTGCTTAGCTGGGACCGGGATAACCCCCACCATTCCGGGGGGGGGGGAGGGAACGGAGCTCCATCCGCCGCAGACTCTGCTAGGTTCCCGGCAGGGAGGTCGTCTGCCACTCCTGATCGGGTCCTGCTAGGCCCCAAATACTCCAAGTTGATTTTCTTTATCCATGTAAGGCACATGAAACCCCGATTGGTATCCGGTAGCCTCTCTGCACCCACAGAGGTGGTGTACCTCAATTTAATTAGCTGTGGGCTTGTATTTGAATGGATTTTCCAAGTCTATAAGGAGAGCTCAGTTGGCATGCGTCCGTTCGCTATGGCGGCTAAGCCCGGCCCCCTTTTATTTTTATTTTTTTATTATATTTTTATTGATTGATTAATTGTGATGAGGATGAAGAGTCTGTTGTTGGCACATTCAATGAGCCTTTTACACAAGAAGATACCAAAATGCCTTCCAAACATGAGAACTTTGTAAACTAATCTAAAACACAATACAATTATTTGTCAGTCACTGATAGAGTAAGGAGCAAATAGAAGGGAATATTTTTATTTATTTTTTTATTTGTATTTTATTGGCGTTTCCAATTCCAAAAAGTAACTGCGTCAATGTATAAGACTGAATTTACATGTAGACATCAACATATAACAATTTAGAACAATATAGAATTAGGTATTAAACACTGGTATATTGCCTATGGCTTGGTTAATGCATGGTGTTTGCATGGTTGGTACCTAGTGGCCCCTAGGTCTTAGCGTTATCTTATGTTATAGGTTATAACTCGGGGACACTACTGAGAACGTATCTTGGCTCATATGGAATGTGTCATTACCTAGCATGTGTCATTAGCTAATCTAGGCTTCATATTTTAGTAATTTGACTAAAACAGGTATTTTGGGTAATGGGACTGTACCTTGCATTCTATATTATTGCATGTGTTTCAGGTTGGGGTTCCCGAGGTAGGTGTTCTTTCAGGTTGGATCGCAACCATGTGCAGTCGCAGAAAAAAATTGTTAGAGTCGCCATGCGAGGTCAGGGTGAGTGCTGTGTTGCCTTGTGTCACGATCAGTGAGCCATCCGCTCCCCATCGGTACTTGATTGCAGCGTTCCGCAGTCGTGCGGCTATCAAGGCTAGTTGTATCTGTTCCGATAGTACTGTGAATTGGAGATCCCCATAGATCGCCACTGTGCAGCCTTCAAAGTGTATGTTGCCGAGCTCCCTAAATCGGTTCATGATAGTGACGAGAGCCGCGATATCGAAGGCGGATGTGAACATATTGCGGTCTGCACCACCCTTTAGGCTTAGAGATGCCAGTAGTCTCTGGGTAAATGGCAGCAGTGCCTCCCTTCATATCTGTTCTGGGTTACCTTTTAGTTGTATATTGCATCTCCTGTGTCTTTTTTCCAGTGCTGTGACCGATCTAGTGAGTGTCTAAATTTGTTGGTGGAGATTGTCCACTTGGTTCTGGGTATTCTGCATCTTTCTCTCTCTGACTTTCTCTTTAGTTTCCACTGAATCAATCTCCATTTCGGTTTGGGCCTCTAGGAGGTCGGCTTTCCATACCTTCCTCACATATTGTAGGAGACTCTTTATGTCCCCCTTCATTGCCGGGGAAGAGTCATCATCTGAGTCAAACTCCTGATATACTTTAGCCGCCTGGAGAGAAATGGGCCCCTAAGTCTCCTCACACGTGTCCTCTGAGGCTTCAACCTCCGCTCACGCTGCAGACGCCATCTTTGACACACTGGTTGAAACGGGCTGCTCAAAAGAATATCAGGCAGTTCTGGGGTCTCTGGAATTTAATATCTCCAGTGCTTGCGTCCCATGCTGTCAGCTGGTAAGTTAAAGCAGGGTGTCCGTGGAGCTTTTCAGTCTATATTGGCTAATATGCCGATAGTCAGTCGGAGCTCCTCCTATACACGTCCGTGCTGCTGCTCAGTCAGCCACACCCCCAGGATTAATTATTTTATAGATATTCTAAGAATATAATTTTTCTGCCTCAATGAGAGATTTAGCGTTTTAGCTGATTTTTACTTTCTCTTTAAATCTCCACTGCAGTGTTATTAAAACTTAGAATTGTCTAGGCTTTTCAAGTTGATAGAAAGTATATTCAGACTCAATTATACATGATATAAGCCACTGTATCTTCTATGTAGGATTCCAGCTGTTTGCCTCTTGGTAGTTCAACCATAAAAATCATAGGACAAGAAGCATGACATGGTATTTCTCATGACCCAGGACATACTTGAAAACAAGAGAAATCTCAATGTATCCATCCTGGTAAAATATTTTATAAATAAAAAAATGTTTAATGCCAAATTGTGAGTCTTTATTGTCTTACAATTTGATCGTTTACAATATTATTTTAAAATAACATGCTTGTTAAAATGTACTTCTCTATATAATGGGTGTTTTGTAGTGTAGTTTATTACATTCACTTGTAGAGACAGATGACTCTTCTTGTATAATAGATACACACTCAGGCTATAAAGGGATTACATTTGCACTATACACATTTTAAGATTGGGCATAATTTAGGCAAAAAACACAGTAATTTATGGTTTCATTAATGTTTGCTGGTATTGTGTGTTAAATACTGCTATACTGTGTTGCTTAATAAATTGCTTTCATTTTGCCTCAGGTCAGCAGTAAAAAACAATAAATATGTGATGACTTCCGTTTTTATGGCATTAGTTAAATTGCCATCTGCAATGGGAATTACTACAATTAGGAAGAAATTACAAATAAATAATATGTGCATAGTGAGACTCTGGAAAAAATATCCTTAATTACTTTGCCATGGGGCATGATGTGAGCTTAGTGAAATGGTGAGAAGATGCAGTCGGTATACAATTGGTCAAAAGTGAAGTTAAATATAAAACATCTAAATATATGGAAGATTGTTTAATAATACAGCTGCCGAAGGACTAATGCTAAAATATAAATCTAACGTTTAACATCATGCCTTTGCTATCTGCCAGTCCTATTTTTAGGATAAATATAATGAATAGGTATATTAGGTGTCATGTGTGATCTGGAGGTATTTTAATTCTGAACCATTTGGCTTCTGGTACTCCACTTTCCCTGTGTGCAGATGAAGTCTTTGAAAACTGTCCGAAATGACCAAAGCTGTTTATTGGTGAGTTTGTTCTATAATTTCCCCTCTGTAGCTTATTCCTTGCTTGTTTATTTGCACGTTATTGGGATATTGGTTAGCCAAATCCAGTATTACCTTAGTTATCCTTAAATTTTCCAGGATGGTTATGTTGCTAATGCATGGTGGAAAAATTCTCTTTGGCTGAATCAGTTGGGCCAGATTTAGTTCAGGTAGTCAAGTAGTCATCCATGTGATGGTTTCGGCTTATCCAAATATCGTTTACATAAAATATTCAGAAAAAAGATGCAGACAAACCAAAAAGGTGTGAAAATGGGCCAGTCGGTGTACTGCAAAATATGTATATTTTCTCAACACACTTATTTTCAGGATTATTTTCCTTCCATTTGGTTAAAAGAACAAAACCTATATATCTATAGATTTGTCACACTGCTTCTTGTTTTTTTCCCTCTGTCGGTGACTTCTCATGTGATCTGTGAATAAAATTTAAATTTAGTGGCTATTCCCTAACCATTAAAACGGAAAAACAAGTAGTGGAATAGCGCTGTGTTTATATAAGGAAGGCAGCACACCTAAACGGGTTGACCTCTCTAAAAACCCAAAAGGGATGAAAGAAATACAGAACAATAGGGTGCACAAAGGGGTTGGGAATCAGAATAAATAGAAATAGAACAAATAAAATAAACAGAATATACACAGTCCTATGATAGTATAAAATTGTGTATATAAAAAGAACAAACAAAAAGTCCAAGATAAAATACAATAGTATGGATGAGTCTGTAAAGGTTTGCCAGTATCTGCAGGTTAGTGTACCATCCAAGTGTTCAAAATCCAGGAACATAAAAGAGAGAAGAAAAAACTCCAATAGTGCAATATGTATAAAATAAGATAAAAGCTTAAATAAAAAGAAATCCAATAATCTTGCTATAGTCAGAAGTAAGAATAATTCCTTTATTGTTATTATTAAGATGATTTAAAAAGATGAGAGATTCTTCTGAACCATCCCAGATAAAAAAACAGGTAATCGATATAAAGGAAATATGAGACTAGGTTTGCCTTCTAGGACTGCCCACGCTATAGACAGGGTTGCTTATGACGCATTTAGCATCCCACCCTTAGTTTTCCTAAACTACAATTCCCAAGTCTCCTACCAATAGGATGCCCATTTGTGATGTCAGCCTATTTATCCCCCAGTAACACCCATTTTCATTCTTATTCACTTTTTATCTGTTCAAACCTTCGTTTTTTTTTTAATTAATCTAACTCTATTCACACTTTTCAACTAAAGTACACTATGTTTATCCATTATTTTAAATCTGTGATTGTCTATCATGATCACGATCATGTGACATGATGTCATTTTACCGCCAATTTTGAATTTACCAATACTAGATACTATTATACTAGAGCTGGTTTTAGCCATTTGGATTTGGCCATGGTTTTAGCCATGTGAGTAGGCCATTTGGATTTCTTTTTATTCAAGCTTTTATCTTATTTTATACATATTGCACTATTGGAGTTTTTCTTCTCTCTTTTATGTTCCTGGATTTTGAACACTTGGATGGTACACTAACCTGAAGATACAGGCAAACCTTTACAGACTCATCCATACTAATGTATTTTATTTTGGACGTTTTGTTTGTTCTTTTTATATACACAATTTTATACTATCATAGGACAGTGTATATTCTGTTTATTTTATTTGTTCTATTTATATTTATTCCCAACCACTTGGCACACCCTATTGTTCTGTATTTCTATTATTCCCTAACCATTAGTCTACTTTTTCACAGCTCTTTTTTTGACACCATGGACGGAACTCCAAATCCCAAAACAAACAACATCCTCATCCCTTGCCCAGTTTGTTTGTTAGTGATATGTTCTTTGGTGCTTCAGAGTCACACAATTCAAATTACCCACCAATCATCCAAAATTCGGTATTGATATCCATTTCCTATATTCCAAACATCACACATGTCAAATGTCAGACTTGTTTTATTAGTTTATTAGTGTCCTCTTGTTCAAACATAATCTTTAACATGTTATTAAAGCTATTTATGAAGGGGTTAAATTGCTTCTATTGTGGCACCACTTATGATCTTTAGTCATCCAACATTCCAACTAAGTATAACACTGCAATGTTCTACATGAAAGAGTAGGCCATGAATGTTAATGTATGACCAATGCAAATATTTATTGTTTAACCAATTGTTTAGGGACTGGAGAACTAAATAAAAAATGTTTAAAATGTAAATTAAATGTAAACTCAAATTATTTTAATTAGTGCAGAAAAACAGTAATGTGACAAACTAAATTGTTTACAATAGTAAAGGTTCAATGACTCATGATTTAGCTAAGAATAATAAAATGAGACAAAATAAGCTTCAGCAGTGTTAGCATGTTCATTTCTCATAGTGATTGAGACATTAAATCTGATTAGGGCAACGTAAGAGCCCACGCCATCTGGATTCTAAACTAAACTGCATGAGCTCAAATATTAATCTGTACTTTATAATAAAACAGCAACTATTAGATGGAAAATGGATTAACAAATGCAGCCCGCTTTAATGTGATACATCAGAAAAGCTAGCTCAATGATACACTATCCAGTTGTCTTTCCACTTAAAGGGACACTCAAAGCACTAAAACAACTTCAGTCTCACTGCCCAATTTGCTACCATTTAGGAGTTAAAAGATCACTATAGGGTCAGGAACACAAACATGTCTTCCTGACCCTATAGTGAAACCCACCATTTAGGTGGCTTTCATCTCCCTTAGCCCCCTCAGAATGGGTTAAAACGCCCCTTATTTTCAGCTCTCCACAGGTCTGCCGGCGCTGGCCTCGCCCCCTTGGTGACAATCAAAATTGCAGATTTTTAGACAATCCAACGCTTTCCCTATGCGAAAGCATTGGATTGGCTAAAATCGGCAAGGGGTGGGGCCAAATGACGTTTTGGCCAATCAGCACATCCTCATAGAGATGCATTGAATCAATGCATCTCTATGAGTAAAATTCAGCGTCCCCATGCAGAGCGTGGGGACGCTGAATGACAGGGCTGCTTACTGTTCAGCCCTGAGCCAGGAAGCCCCTCCCGTGGCCATCTAAGGAGTGGCCACTTGGAGGTGTCCCTAGGGGCAATGTAAACACTGCCTTTTCTTGTAAAGGCAGTGTTTACATGAAAATGCCTGAAGGGAGCTATTATACTCACCAGAACAACTACATTAAGCTGTAGTTGTTCTGATGACTTTAGTGTCCCTTTAAATAACTTTGTTTAAGCAGCCTAAGCCACATCTCCTCTCACTGTGACTCACACAGTCTCTCTGCACACTACCTGAAAAAAAGTCTAAAATATTTTAACTTCATTATTGCACAGTGCACTTAATTTAGAAGTTCTCATGTACTGTGCTGTTAATAGCCTGATAGAGCCTACATTAGCATCTTGTTTATGATTAAAGTCCCACTACCAGAACAGCTGACACTGCCAATAAAGGTAATAACATCCTCTAACGTAAACACATTGTGCTTTAAAAATTAAACATTTTTTCATGGAAAGTGTGTGAATCACACAGGCATTGCTGGAGTGAGGAGTGTGGGGGGGGGAGGGAATTTGGGGGCCATAGATGTGGGGTTCTTTAGCCTTGGATTTATACAATTGGTGGAGAAGGCAAGATGTTACTAGTTTTTTTGCTTTTTTTAATGTTATATCAGGTAGATGCTTCTCAAGGCAGAAGCCAATTACAAAAATAAATATCAGTAATATAATGCTCTATCAGACTAGTGGTGGGGGGTTCCCCAAGATAATGTTCAGGAAAATGTTCTGGGGAAAAGAACTTTGCTGCACACTCCACTGTAGTGGCTGACTAAGGGGAGGGCAGAGGGGGCGGTCCACCCCGGGTGGTGCCATGACCCAGGTCTGAGAGCTAAAGGTGGATGTCACATGTGAGCTGTGCCCCATGGCAGCTGGGGTGTCGCACAGCTCACAGGCAGAGATGCGCAAACGGAAATGGCCGCACTGAAGTTTGGGGGTGGGGCTATGGTCGTTTGGGGGCGGAGCCAATCCGAAAGCGGGGCGGGGCTTAACACTAATGTTACTACTGCACATGGGGGTGCAGCAAGAAGAAATTTACAGATTTTACTATTAACATGACGTAAAGTCATGATTTTATTAATGACACGGAGGCGAGTATTATGCTGCACTCTTTCTTTATTTACCTCAGCAGCAAAGAAAAATAACATTAAATCAGTATAAAAGAAACCAGTAAATAACATGAGGTATATCTTCCTAGCAACAGGAACAGCCAATCAGCATCCTCTTTATAGCATAATAGGCAGTGTTCAGTATACTACTTCCTCTTTCTTGCGATCCCGAACAAGGACAACAAATCCAAATAAAAAGTGGGCTCCAATTAGAGGGTATACGAGCCTTAAACTGGATCTCGAAGTCAAGCTGGAAGAGAAAGGAGAATATGGTAATATCCAAGTATAAAACTGGATTTATGCATAAATTCGCATTACATGAAATATCAGATATATATATACATAACATGAAATTCAGTTTAGTCAAACCGTAAGCTATTGACAGTCATTAACAAGGATAAAACCCAGTAATCAAAAAAGACTTACCGTGAAGTCAACTTACCCAGAGAAGACCAAACCTCCAGGGATGGGAGGGAGGGATAATACTCGCCTCCGTGTCATTAATAAAATCATGACTTTACGTCATGTTAATAGTAAAATCTGTAAATTTTATTAAGACACGGAGGCTCCTATTATGCTAGTTCAAAGCTGTGAAATTATGTCTCCTGTGAAGTGTTGAATAGGTCTAAAGTAGAAATCATGGAATGTAGACTCCGAAGACCAGCCGCTCTTATAATATCCTCCAAGCGACAACCAATCGAGGAAGCCTTAGAAGCCATTGCCCTACGAACCGAATGAGGCACAGACACATAGGTATCAATACCTGCTAGAGATGTCTACTTGACCCACCAGGCTAGAGTAGACAGCGGAAGACGCGACTTTTGGAAGGAGATGAAGAGTTCCTGTTTCAAAGGATTCTGTAACGTAGTAGAACGATGTTCACACACCCATTAGTATGCAACAGGGCAAAGGAGAGATCTATCAGGGAAAACTGGGTAAGATAGATTTTAGAGGAGGTTTTTGTCCTCCGTGAAATGTCAAAGAGGACACCTTCTGGAGTAAAGGAACGAGCAACCACCTCACGAGCTCGTACGTCAGAAAAACCTCTTGCAAGCAAAAAAAAAAAAAAATTCAAGACAATAGAGATGTCCCACAAGACAGAATAATGTGGTAAGGGTGAATGAGCAAACCATATTCCTCAGAGAAGTCAATATATGACAGGATGTCAACCGACAGGCGTCCAATCAAAACTTTGATGGCCATCAGAAATGGACGATCGGTAAGGTCCACAGTGCGATAGGCTTTACCTTCATCATAGAAGTCAGAAAAATGGAGGACAGACATAAAAGGAGCTGATATGGGATTTAAATTTAATTTCATGCACCAACTATGCCATCTGCTCCAAGCAGATTTATAAGCCTGTCTCGTGTTGGGTGCACCCTTGATAAGTTGGGGAGTTGATTGCGAAACTCCCTTGACCGACCAAGGTTCCCTGAAATAGATTACACTATGAGATGCAAGAGACCTTGGAGAACAAGAGGATGAGGTACACCATAGAAGGCACTCGAGAGATGGAAGGTCGATAACCATCTCCTGAAGAGAAGAGAACTATGGTTGGGACGGCGATAGAGGAGCCACGATCAACAGGTGCCGGACTGGCGATGTAGATGGAAAGGCAAAAAAATCATAATTCCTTGGAGAAAACATTCATAGCCAGTGCTATCGGATCTGGTCTCCAACTGAAAAAACGGGGAAGTTGAGCATTCAAACGAGAAGTGAAAATAGACTCCATAGGTTCCAGATGTCTTGGAAGACCATGGAATCCAAGTGCCAGTCGCTGGAATCTCTGAGTTGGCGTGAATACCAGTCCTTCGTAGTATTGGAGAGACCTTGAATATATTCTGCCGTGACTGAAATGCCGTGTCTCAGGCAAAATTGCCAGCAATCACGAGGCATGTAGGTCAGAATTTTGTATTTTGTGCCTCCAAGTGATTGATGTAGCGGACTGCTGACACGTTGTCCATCTTCAGAAGGATAGCGCATTGGGCTTGAGTTGGGGAGAAACTATGGACTGCAAAGGAACCAGCCAGATGTTCCAAACAATTGATGTGGAGTGTTGATTCCAGGTTTGATTATCTGCCCTTGGTGGAAATAGTTCCGCATTGAGCACCCCAACCATGCAAACTTGTGTCGGATTTGATTATCAAATCTGGAGCTGTACAAAATATGGTGTGCTTATTCCAAGCTTCCATGTGAAGAAGCCACCATTGGAGTTCATCCTCCGCTTCTGAGTCCAGAGTTACCATATCTGTGTATGATGCGCAGCCCTTGAGATGAAGTTTGTAATCGTTGTAGGGCTCGATAGCTAAGAAGACCTGTAGAAATGGCCTGTATAGATGCCGCTAGAAGGCCTAACATTCTCAACAGTTGTTTGAGAGAGAGTTGAAAGGGTTGCTAGTGTTCGCCTATCTCCTTCTTTATATTGGCTAATTTTGCCACCGGTGGGTGTAGAGTTTGAAGGGTAGAATCTACAATAATCCAATATAACCCAGAAATTTTATTTGTTGCGTGGGAACGATAATGGATTTCTCCTAATTGGTCAGGAAGCCTAGGTTCTCTAACAGAGTCAAAGTCCATGCAAGGTATGTCCGGATTAATTGAATAGACTGAGCCAGAATGAAAATGCCATCTAAATATATTATAAGATGTGAGCTTGGTGAAGCACCATGGAGCCGAAGACAGTCCGAATGGGAGGCACCTGAACCTCTATTTACTTCCCTACCATGTAAATTGCAGGAAGTTCTCGATCTTGATGTTGTACTGGGATAGGCACTGTGAGATATGCATCCTGCAGATCCAATTTGGCCATCCAATCTGCTGGTTGGAGAAGATCCCTTAAACAATGCTCTCCTTCCATCTTTGAAGTGCTGAAATGTTCATAACTATTGAGCAGTCTCAAATTTATCACTGGACGGATACCTTTGCCTTTTTTGGGAAACAAGAAAAGGTTGCTCACGTAACCCAGGGTATGCGCCAGAATCTCTACAATTGATTGTCCACAGAGACAAGGACTGTGTCTCATTGGGAAAAAACAATTTCCCTTGATGGGGAACATTGAACAAGTAGAGAAAGGAAGTCTATGCAATACCCTTTCACAGTGTGAAGAACCTAAGCATCTGATGAAATGAGGGATCATACATGGGAAAAATGTGTAAGCCTGCCCCCCACTATCAGTAAGAAAGAATGGAAATTGTGAAGACGTCTTTGGAGCACCTCTTAGGCCACTAACAATCCAGGGTCGGCCACTTTGTGAGAAGGAGGTTGGTATAGTGCATTGTTCAAAGAAATCGGCTCGGCAAGTATAAGAGTCTTGGTTCTGTCTAAAAGAACTTCTGTTTGTTTAGCAGGACAAAGGAGCCCAATTCTTTTACAAAGTTGTCCCCAAAGAGAAAAACCTTTTGCCTGTGTTATCTGGCTCGTTCAGAGCCATAGTTAAACGTTTGGGCTCAATCTTGAGCAAGATCGATTTGTGGCGTTCTGTGACAACCACATTGTTGGCGTTGCCAACTTAAATCACTCTCTGGATCTAACCACTTAAGATGGCACAATCTAATTCTAGATCATCCTCCACTGCTTCAAAGATCTTGGCTGCTGAGCCCAAGATGCCCAGGATTTTATCCTGACAGTTTTGCAATGGAAATCTAAGCCTTTAGATGGCTTCCATCCTGTCTTACTCAGGAATTGAATGAATTTAGGATTGACTGATAGCGTTTAACATGAGTCATCAGGGACTGTTCAGCGTGGCCATTCAGCCCGCAATTTATTTCACTTTGCCTTCTCAAAAGGCTTGCGTACTCTGGATGCAATATACTTGGCTACATGGTCTGAGGAGACCACTGGGTGACATAGGTCGTCAGGTTCGAATAGGGGTTCACATTGAGTGTCCAAGATCCTATCGGTGTCCCTGAGTCCGCATAATCTACCTAAATCTTGGTAGGTTTAACAGGACGTGTATCCCAAACGGGATTAGCATCCTCTTCATCAGTAATTTCATAATCAGGATCAGAAATATCCTCTGAATCCTTTATATAGGACTCAGGGAACTCCTCCTCAATATCACTGAGCTCAGATTCAGAGTTCAGTTGGGCTTTTGCCCTTTTCCAGTCTAGTCGATTTTGCCTGACTAGTAGCTCTTTTGCGCGGTGGTAAATTAATCGCGCCATCCGTGACAGGTATGGAACTGTCCATCTCTATTATTTTGGAGGAGTGTTTAGCCTTATATGAGGCCTTGCAGCCAGGCTGAAGCAGAGCAGGTGTGAGTACAGATACACCTCCATATAGTACTCAGGGAAACTCCTCCTCAATATCCCTGAGCTCAGATTTAGAGTTCAATTGGGCTTTTGCCCTTTTTCAAAGTCTAGTCGATTTTGCCCGACTAGTAGCTCTTTTGCGCGGTGGTAAATTAATCGCGCCATCCATGACAGGTTTGGTACTGTCCATCTCTATTGTTTTGGAGGAGTGTTTAGCCTTATATGAGGCCTTGCGGCCAGGCTGAAGCAGCGCAGGTGTGAGTACAGATACACCTCCATATAGTACTCAGGGAAACTCCTCCTCAATATCCCTGAGCTCAGATTCAGAGTTTAATTGGGCTTTTGCCCTTTTCCAAAGTCTAATCGATTTTGCCCGACTAGTAGCTCTTTTGCGCGGTGGTAAATTAATCGCGCCATCCATGACAGGTATGATACTGTCCATCTCTATTGTTTTGGAGGAGTGTTTAGCCTTATATGAGGCCTTGCGGCCTGACACCAGGGCCTTGTCATTGCTTTTGCCATGGAAGTGTCAATTAAAGCCTGCATGTCAGCAGGATCAGTAAAGCAGAAATTCAGCCTCATCTCCAGAGATACCTGGAGAGGCTTCTACATTAATCTGCATGTTTGCTGTAGACCCAGAAGGCACAGAAAGATCCTGTCAGACTGCATCGTAAATATACAAACAAACCTAAGGGGATGAATAAAGCAAAATAATACCAAAAGTAAAGGGTTGAGTAACCCTCAAGTAAAAATAAATAAATAACTAACTAAACAGGATAAAGAAATGAAAGTACTCACAATAGTGAAAAAAAAAATAGCAATTGTAATATAAAAACAAAGGAGCTGCCCAGCTGCCACTACAACTAAACCCCAACTTGGATTTCTGGCAGTTGGTGGCAGAGCAGCAGCCAGACAGATAAATGAAGGGAAAAAACAGCACAATAGCCCTGTGCAGGGGGATAAAGATCCTCAAAGACGTCCCTGATCCCCATTTGATGGTAATCTTGGGGCCAGGGAGGTCAGAGGGGAAATACATTATCAAAGGATATATAATAAAGCATATTACTGAAGCAAATGAAATAAATAAATCAAATTACGTTAAAATGAAGTAAGTAAATATATTTATAAACATGAAAATATTATAATTAAAATGTAATAACTATAATAACTATATTAAGCACAGTAATGATATGAATAAAGTAAAGTAAAAGATCCCACAGTGAAGAACCATGGGACCCAGAGTCACTTAACTGAGGTAGCAGCAAAGAAAGAGGAAGTAGTATACTGAACACTGCCTATTATGCTATAAAGAGGATGCTGATTGGCTGTTCCTGTTGCTAGGAAGATATACCTCATGTTATTTACTGGTTTCTTTTATACTGATTTAATGTTATTTTTCTTTGCTGCTGAGGTAAATAAAGAAAGAGTGCAGCATTATAGGAGCCTCCGTGTCTTAATAAAATCCCTGCTCCTCCACCTAACAGGCCAGCTATATAAGGGCACCCTATACAGGCCACTCTGTTTCAGCACCCTGATCTTGTGTAAAAATGTCTAGTAATAAGTTTGCGCTACACTTTCTGGGGACAGTTCGTGGTGTCCATCAGCACCCATCTGTCCATTCCTCCATCCTTTCTTACTAGCACGCAGAAGCTCACGGTATGGAGCCTGGAACAGAAAAAAATGTGAATGTAGTGAGTGTAGCAGAATGTACATGTCACATATATATATATATATATATATACACACACATAATGTGTTTAACCCCTTAAGGACTGAGCCAATTGTACAAGTTGTGATCAAAACAAAACGTTAACAAAACCTTGAATTTGTGCTATTTATCTGTCCAGGTGTAATCCACCTCTTTCATATTATGTGCACCCACACTTATTATATATAATTTTGCTCATGAGAAACAGGGCTTTCATGTCAGATCAAATATTTGTATAGTAAACATAATTTAATATGAATAAAGTATAAAAAAAATGAGAAATTAAGAAAAAAAAATTTTTTAGTTCTGCATGGCATTTTAACTGTGAATGTCACAATACTGTTAGCTGTTACTGCAATAAAGTACACATATTTGTATTCAGCGATGTCTCACGGGTAAAACAATACCCCCAATGTACAGGTTTTATGGTGTTTTGAAAAGTTACAGGGTCAAATATAGCACATTATATTTTTTTGGTTTATACACATTGAAACTGGTTATGTTGCCTTTGAGACCAAATGGTAGCCCAGGAATGAAAATTACCCCCATGATGGCATACCATTTGCAAAAGTAGACAACCCAAGTTATTACAAATGGGGTAAGTCCAGTCTTTTCTAGTAACCACTTAGTGTTTGTGTGTGAAAAAATGCAAAAAACTAAATTGAATGCTAATTTTGGCCAGTGTTTATGACTAAGTGGCTACTAGAAAAGACTGGGCATACCCCATTTGTAATACTTTTTTGTCTACTTTTGCAAATGGTCTCAAATGCAACATAACAAATCTGGCGAATTTCAATGTGAAAAAAAGGAAATTCAAGCCTTTTATTTGACTCAGTAACATTTGTAAAATAGTAAAACGTATCACAACAATTATATCAGTGAAAGTACGGTCAGTGAAAGTACCGTTTGTGTGTGAAAAAAATTGAATTTTTACTGACAATATCATCGTTGTGATGTGTTTTACTGTTTTTTTCTTCTTTTTTTTTCGGCTGGCCATGTGTGAGCTGTGCAGCCGCAGGGCACCCCCTGCTCCATGGCGCCCTGTGCGGCCGCACAGCTCACACACCCCTAAGGCCGGTCCTGCACACACACAGGCAGGCAGGCAGTCACACAAACAGGCAAACAGTCACACACAAGCAGGCAGTCACACACACACACCGACTTACCTCTTTCCATTATGGCTGGAAAGGGTAGTGGATGCAGTTGGTTGTTGGGGAAGCAGGGACTCCTTCCTTCTTTCCTCTTTCTGTGCAGCAGTTACTAGGGGTTTCTGGTAGATAAATAGCCCTGCCTCTGCCTCGTGATAAGCTCTGCCCCTGGCGCTTGGTAAGCCCCCATCCCAGCTATATATATTTTTTTTTTTATAGACCTGGGTGGAGAATAATTAAATAATTAATCCTCCACCCGGGTACCTGTTTAAGCTCCCCTGCACACCTGTCACCCGGCCATGTGTGATCTGTGTCGGCCACATGGCGCCCCCCGGTCCATCGTGAAGAGTTAGTCAATGCTTCCCATTGTATTTGCACACTCACAGTAATTGGAGCATATCCATCAATGTCATCTGAAGAGGTAGGAGAGACTGTCATCACTGAATGCCTCCCTGGGGCACAATAGAGCACTAGCAGTAGCAGTAGTAGAGGTTTCACTGTGGGATAAAAAGGTAAAATAACTTAATTTTTTTGTGTATGGGTGGGATGCCTGGCATTTATTGTAGTAAAGGAATACTCCACATTAAGGGACAACTGTCACTACAAAACTAATTATTAACATAATAATCAATGGGATATCTAAGTGGCCAACGAACAATCTATGTTAGACAAGGTATACTAAAAAATATATATATATGAAAATAATAAAGTTTTATTAACAGAAAAAATAACAAAAAACCCAAATACGTGCTAGGGTGTAAACACCAAAACCGTGGTTCTAAAAATAGGTAAGTAAAAACAAAGTGTCAGTATCAAACTATCTGATAAATGCAGCCCAATATGTAAAACTGCTTCTGTCAGTAATAAATGGTGGATAATGTTCTAAGCTTTAGTGACAGAGTACCGATCCAATAACTTGGTAATCGATTATATGGTCTGTCACAGTTTACATCTCTGGTAAGTAAATTCTATACGCATAGCAGTAATGTGCTTGTGGACTATATGGATCCACTAAATACCAGCTACACTACCACTTGATAAATTTATAGGTGAAGAAGATCTGCAGTACTATGGGGCAGAACACCAATCCAGTAGCTTGATGATCAATTATACGGTCTATCAGTGGTAAGTATCAATTGTGTAAAAATAGCAGTAAAAATGCTTGTGGATTATGTAGATCCACTAAGTACCTGCTGCGCTAACATTTGATAGATAGATGAAAACAAAAAATCTACAAAATGGCGATATATGTCAGCAAAAGAAATATAATAAAATGGACCAACCGATGAGAGAGAAACTGGATAAGGAAGGAATATCGGTGTATCTAGATAATAGTCCTAAGTACCGCTCATTAACTAGTCCACCAGACTATCTGCGTCTGCCTACAATAACTGGATGTCAGGACTAAAGGATCGTTGGCCACTTAGATATCCCATTGATGCACATGTTTTGCATCATATATTAGATACACCATCTCCTGTCTCTTTATCTCTTATTTGGGGTTACCCCCCACCTTTTCAGTGTATCTAATCTGGCTCTACTTGTTCGCTTCTTTTTCTTAATTTTAACATAATAATCCTTTCGTTCTAAAAGGAAAAATATTTTTGTTTTTTAGAATGAACTATATGTAAAAAAAATAAAAATTAAAAAAAAAATTAAGAAAAGCTCATTCCTTTCTTTAGTATATGACAAGTTATTTGAGCCATATACAAGCATCTTGGGCCAGTCAGTGTTTGAAGACAGAAAGGTAGTCTTTCTGGTCTTCCATGCTTCACTCCCTGAACAGCAGGAAGACCAGAGTCTAACTGTCATATAATAAAGGTAGGGATGAGTTTTTCTGATTTTTTGTGCATACCTCATTTTAAAAAATATCTATTTCCTTTCAAAAATATATGAAAGGATAATTATATGAAAATATAGATTTGAAGTGACAGTTTGCTTTACAACTTAATATCTGTTTTAAATGCTGTACTGTTCATAAAAAAATAATCTACATACTTGTATTTGTATGTTCAAAGATGTAGTGAATAATCACAGTACACAGAACACAGTATGAGAAAGATTTAATAAAATCACATTTTGCACACTGATTGCAAAACCATTTCCTGTCATCGTAAACATATAATTTTCATGTTTTCAACATCGTGGTAATTCTTGAAAAGCAGAGTATACTATATAAATGAAAACCAAGCTTTGTCAACTCTCAAACATTCAGTAACATTTTATACGGAGCTCTTGGAATTTTTTGTGTTTATGTTTATAGATCAATATTTGAAGCAAGAGACAGATATAAACAGGCCAGTGAAATTTCATCTCTGTTTGTGTAAGCATAATATTGTAAAAAAAAACAAAACTAAACTGTATGTATTCATACAGTATGCCTATGAAATAAGATCTAACATTAATTTTTTTTTATCCACGTAACTATGAGTAATGCTAATTTGAGGGCCAACTTGATGACACTGATAGATCTTGTGCAATATAGAAGAGGAATGAAGATGCCAATGAAGTCTTACTGTACTTGTTACTCCCTGTGTCGACTTCAGCTGCAGAAGACTCCTTTGAACAAGGTACAGACACAAGAGGTAATCCTTCACTGCCAGGGCTTTCTTTAATACTGATTGGACACTAGGCAAGCATTTGCATTTGGACCTTGCTCTCCTCCCCCCTTCCTGGCATGCAATAACGCCTTCCTCCCCAATTTGTTTGGGCCCTCCTACTACAAGGATGTCCAAAAGGTAGATTCCTATCTCTCGTGTTTGACAGCTGGGGATCTACTATATTCACATCCTTGCAGGGGTGTATGTTGATGTTTCAATGCAGGAATGTGTTTGTATGTAGTGTTGAAGTTTGAATGTGGGGGTGTATTTGTGTGTAATACTGGTATTTAATGCCGAGACGTATGTATATATAAACATACACTGCCACACACACACTGTGATACACATATACACTGAAGCTCATGCAGATACACAGATATACACACTGACACACAGACACAAATGCAGATATTCAGACACAAATACACATACTGACACACATGCAGATACAGACACATTGATACACATATAGACAAACAGATACACAATCTGACACGCATGCAGATACACTAACACACAAATACAAAGACTGACACACATGCAGATACTCAGACAAACAGATACACACACTGGCACACATGCAGATACTCAGACACACTGACACATATGTAGATTCCAAGATACACACACTGACTACATACAGATAAACATAAGATACACAGACACATATACTGTCAGACATACTGACACATACACTGACAGACCTACTGAAACACAGACGCATATACTGATAGACATATTGACACAAATACTGACACCACAGACATACACACTGACAGACATTGTGACACACACAGACATACTGACACACACAGAGACACATACACTGACAGCTAGTCAGTGGGGTTCAGTGTGGTGCCTGAGGCTGTTGTGAGTTAGGTGCTGCCTCTCCAGCCCCCTTCTAACTGCCTCCTCCTCCCTCCCACGCTGCTCTGTGTTCTCATGTCATGATTCCCTTTTATTCCAGAAGTTTGGTCCTTAAGGTGTTAAAAAAGCATGCTATTGCACAGTGTGTGTAGGCCTCCCATATATGCGTCCGCTGCTCAAACAAGATTCTAAGGTCACCCATTGGCTGTGGGCTATCAGTTCAGATACAGTCAAGTGTCCCTCCTTATTTACATTTTACAGCCACTATTGGAATAAATGCTGTGTAGAAATACAAACTGATTTCCTGCGTAGAACATTTCCAGCAATATAAGTGCCTTTAGGGCAGACTATTATTTAAGGCATTATTACCACCGCAAATCATATTTGTGAGATGCCAATAAACTTTGTTCAAATTAAAAAAGTACATTTATTGTGGGAACCAAGAACTGGAACACCTTACATACTTTGCGCTCTTGATAAGAACAAAACAGCATGTTCATCATCAGCCAGGGAGAGGATGTTTTATTGTTCTGATACTTGCAATAATACAGTGTATTTGAAGAAACAGTGGCTCTCTGTTAGTGAGTTTATTACTTGGGTGTAGTGTCTGCCTATTGTGCTGCGGAATATCTAATTTTTTACAAACAGGCACCAATCTTCAAAACAAGGGCCTTTCAATTTACGGAATCAGTTTGTTGTTATCAAATTGGGTTTTATAATATATTTTACCCATTTCACTAAGTGCTGTAGAATTTCTTGCCTCTATAGAAATAAATAATAACAATAAAAATAATAACACACTTGAGTCCCACTGAGAATTGTGTAGAGAAGGAGGAAATGAAATAGACCTGGCAGATCAATAAAACCGTCAAATTTAATTTTCAAAATGGACAGTTTGTTGAATACTAAATTCCTGAGGTTGTTGTGTGAAAATGTTCAGTGATATGAAGACTTCGATTTGATTCATGGATTAAAAATCTTGATGAGCTCTCAGTGAACAGGTTTAACCCATTACTTTGCAAAGCTTTTACATTTAAAACATAAAGCAACAGAAAAATTAAAAACCTATTTCAGCATAATGTCCTTGCTGTAGGTTACCCAAAAAGGATGTATTTGTCTTGTTGGAGCCCATTACTGCAAAATGCCCCAGATTTCTCATGAAAATAATTTTAAAAACTGGTCACTAAAACTCACTCTTTATAATATCCGGTATATATTCAGAATATCATTGGTGTAACCCCTTAAGGACACATGACATGTGTGACATTTCATGATTCCCTTTTATTCCAGAAGTTTGGTCCTTAAGCGGTTAAAGATAAATAGCTAGCATTTTGTCACTATCTTCTTTTTGAGTATTTATAACATTTACCAAATTTCCTTTACCTATAAAACGTGGTTTATTCATTTAACTGTAAAATTGTGGTGAAAAGAAAACCACATTTTCAAAATGTAGCATTTCAAATAGAGAACAGAATAATGTGCACTCTAGATCTCAGGTACTTGGGTTTATTTTCAAAACAGTGAGGTTTGGAAAACTCAATTTTGAAAATTCAAGCCAAAATAATCAAGTCAGATTAAAAGTGAGTAAGAATTTTGTCTTTCTTTGCAATGATTTTGGATATGGATATGGCATACAATATACAGGGTAGCCCATAAGTTCCTACCCATCCAGCATACACTAGATACATAAAATATATGGATGGGTATGGATTTATGGGCCACCCTGTACAATGAACATAATGTGCACAAATAAGGTAAGCCCATTAAAGGAACAGAAAACTGATACAGTGACTGCCTCTACTACTGTCCTTACAATGAACATGAAATTAACATCTTTAGACAAACTTATATAGCTTGAAAAATTGGGATTTTAGGGTGGGAGGAGAACCTGGAACATGCATTTCTGAGTAGTGTTGCTGCCATAAAGACCAAAATAAATATAAAATACAGATTAAGGAACAGCCACACAAAAAAATAGTTTTAATTTTTACCAGGCTACTTAAAGTCACCTGGAACAAAACTACATATTTTATTCCGCAAAGATACTTTTCTGCATTTGTTAAATAAATCTACCGAATACCGACCACGCTCTGGATCATTAAGTTCAAAGAAGACCACAGACTTAAGTGCTCTCCCTGTGTGGCTTCCGTTCGTATAACCGAACACCATGTGCTGGAGAATACGGCGGCCATCTTGTCGCACAAAAAGAGGCAGCGAGACTTAGTCATCGAGTGTCTGGAACTCCAACTCGGACACTTGACCCCGCGAACACCAGTCAACTTCACAAACACCTACTTCTTTTCTTAGACAAGCCAGGAGAGCACTGTTCAGTACGTTTGTTCCCACGAACAAGGCAAACAAACCCTACCTATGAGCCAGGGGAACCATTCGTTGTTTTGATTTCGTTGGGAACTCCCGAACTTGACAGACCTCTACCACATACAAAATACCAGCGTTCGTTACATCACCTATCTTAGCAAACAAATATGGGGATTCAGTTACACCATTTTATATTATTGTCCATGTTATATAAAGCCCACCACTATGTCACAGTACCCCAATATTGATGGATTCTACACTCATTTTAACCTTACCATTAACTGCAATGCTTATTGCTTAAACTGCTTCCAGTGACTCTCCTCAAATTTATGTTTTCCATCTTGGGACTTACCTGTAAACATGGAACCTGGAGCACGTCTAATGATACACTCATTCTACACTTTATTTTGAATGTTCTTAATTTTGGGTTCATGTCCCGATGTTGCTGGGTTTGTTCTTTGGTGTCCCACTTTTGAGAAATTCAGAAAATATTATTGATTGAATACCAGTGCTGTATTGTGGTGAAACTTTATGGAAATCAATACGTTATGCATTTTATATCCTATTGTAAAAATTTATATTTTATATATTTCTAATATGAATCAGCTTTGGCCCAAAATGTAATTTCCATTTATATTTAGTTCTGTAGCTGAATAGCATTTCCTAAAAATGTGTCACATTTCAGGTGGTTTGAAAGCAATTTACGGCTGTGCTTCTAACTTTACACAATTCAATATTGTGCTGCAAAGTATAAAGATGATAGCAGGGGGCTCTATGCATGTTAGAATAACAAGGATGGGATATTGGCAACATCAAAACTGTATTTAAATAAAAGCAATCCCGATGGACTTTGTTGGTAATCGGTATAAAGGGAACAACCACCCTTTGAACTCACCATGTGTCTTTTTTCTATTTTGAATCAGCAACTGTTTTACTGAATTAAAACGCTATCCAGTTGGAATAAAATAAACTCTCACTGACTCATACAGATTACATCACCCGACCTGGCATGAACTCACTTCTCTAGATCTATTAAAAGGTCCATCTGTGAGCCAGCAAGTGCGAAATAATCACCTTGGGAAATTCATACCTCTGCTGTATTTCTGTTTCCCTCTATGGCACGTATGGTTAAGTAAAATTTCTTAATTAAGACTACAATGCACCCTGCATTTTCAATTCTTGGTTTTCATTAGTATTTCTGCAAAGTTGCCACTAATTCATATACACTTTTTTGGAATGTTCTAAAATCTAGAGTGTTTGTGGTCATAATTTAGTTATTTAGTTAATAAAATTTGCAGTGAAAAAAGTTTGCCATTGATATGTAATCAAGATTTTCGAGAAGGGCAGAGTTAAATAAAATAAAAAAATTTTAAAAAGAAAAGAAAAACTGCAATAGATTGCTTTAATCTCCGTTGTCTATTTATAGTGATCTTTTCAAGTCTTGTCCTGTCTAGTAAACCACCTTTTGAAGGAAAAGTGGTTTAAAAAGTCATTCCAGGTCAGTTGAAGCTGCCAGTGTATTATTCACTAGTGGCCTAGCATAGGAAAAAAATAAAAATAAAATTACCAACATAAGTCGACTTGATGAATAGCCTACTTGACTTGTCGTGTACCGAATTTGGTTAGCACAAACTGTTCCACATTGACCTTGAATGCACTCTCGATGCTGATTTACTTTAAATAGTAAACCATAAAGTAACATTGCAGGCTGGAGATAATCCACTGTTTTAATGAATTATGCAGATAATACAATAAAAATATGTGCAAACCTCCCCACCCGAAACAAAAAAACATAAGAGTAAATAAAAAAAATAAAAAACACATGAACTTGTGGCAGCTCTGTATTTGCTGCAGGATCTAGACTTCACAGCTTATGCAGGTAACACTCAACAAGTTTGGGAATGACTTTATGAATCTTACATAACTTTCTAAACTGCTGAATGTATCTCAGAAGCAGTGCTTATGGTCGATAGCCAGAGTTTCTGGGAGTTGTAGTGCAGTTGTCACAGACAGGACTATCCTTAGCTTCACCTTGGGCAGCAGGCTTTAGAGCCCAAAGGTTAGACAGAGGCCTCAGAACCATGAATTTGCTGTTAGTTAATCTTATGTCAGCCATGGACCCCACTGAATATATTTTCCTGTTTGTGTTTGGCAATTTAAAAAAAAAATTTTTTTTAAAGTTGCATTAAGACTTTAAGAGAGCATTTTTTTAATTTAAAAAAATATATATATTTTTTTTAGAATGGTGGTTCATTTCCAAGGGTAGACGATCTGTAGGGATGAAAAGTAGGGACTACTATGTATATTAATTAAGCTGACAAACTTGACGATGGGCTAGTCTCAAAGCAAGGTTCTTTTTCACTTACCAATTACGTTTACCCATAATCTTCAGTAAAATCAATCCCACAGAAGGGAAAACAGCAGACATAGGCAGAGGAGAATAAAATGGCCAAAGATCTGAGACAAGGAAGAAAAGGTTATAAATAAAGGCAAGTGGCAAGGAGGAGAGTACAATCATTACAGGGGTAAATGAAAGTAAAAAAAACTACAACAAAACACAAATAAACATGACTGGGCCACTCTACCACTGGCTATGTATCATGGTAGATTTCTATAATAGCTAGTCTTTTTTTTCCCAGAATGACCAATTTGTTCAGGAGTGGATTAGGGTCAGGGCTTACCTGAGTTGGGAGTCCGGCAGGCAGAGATATATGCTCACCCTTGCAAGTAAACACAGGCAGAGGTGGTC